AGAAAGAAAGAAAAGAGTGGGAGGGAAGGAAGGGAAAGAAAGGAAGGAAGGAAGAAGAAAGGAAGGAAGGAAAGAATGGAAGAAAGGTTCTAGATATAATCACAAGGTGTTAAATTAAACCTAACTTTGATCCCTTTGTGACACATGAACACCTTTGGGAATTAAAACCCTTACAGGAAGAGCAAAAATGAGCCATGTCTCTGGGGCCTTTAAAGATCTGAGCCCTGGGGACTTGGCTACTTGGTGAGTGAGAAGCTTTCTGGGGAGGAGGCCTTTTCATGTAGCTTTGAAAGGCATTTCATTGACCAGTAAAAGACCCTACATCCATGAGTAGCAAAGACATACACTCCAGAGGTGGATAGAAATACAGGAAAGAAGGAAAGAAAGAAACATTTATTAGGCACCTACTATGTGCCTGGCACTGTTAAGCACTTTACAAATATCTCATTTGCTCCTCACAACTCTGGAAGGTAAGGTGCTATTATTATTCTTTCCAACTGAGGCAGACAAAGGTGAAGTGACTTGCCCAGGGTCACACAGTAAGTATCTGAGACCAGAGTTGAACCATATTTTATATCGTTATAATTTCAAAGAGTACGAACTTGAATGCATTTGACCACTTCAGGGGAATCATTCACACTGAGACCTAGTTGTAAATATGTCCATGGGCAGGCTGTTAATGGAAGCATACCAGTGGGGGCTCATAAGCTTTGGCTTCAGAAGTAGCCACCCAGAGGTACCTTGAGACCTGAGGTAGCAGCTGCCCTCTAGAGACTCAATTCATAAGTGCATGTGCAATTTGAAGGAGCAACCTAGAGGGGGTTTTACACAAATGCAAAAGTGAGACATCAACATTCCTGCCCTCAAGGAGCTTATGTTACAATGGGGTGAGGGTGGGCAGGGGAAGGTGTTTTTGGTATGGGAAATGATCAGGATGGTGATGAGAGACAGAGAGAGAGGAGAGAGAGACAGAGAGAGGGGAGAGAGAGACAGAGAGAGAGGCAGAGAGGAGAGAGAGGGAAAGGGGGAGACAGAGAGACAGAAAGAGAGAGAGACAGAGGAAAAAGAGACAGAGAGAGAGGAGAGAGAGGAGGGGGGGAGGGGGGAGAGAGAGAGATGGAAGCAGAGAGGAGAGAGGGAAAGAGAGAGGGGGGAGAGAGAAAAAGAGGAGAGAGAGAAAGAAAAAAGGAAGGAGAGAGGGAAAGAGAGGGAGAGGGGGAGAGAGAAAGAGAAAGGAGAGAGGGAGAAAGAAAGAAGGAGAGAGAGAGAGGAGGAGAGAGAGAGACAGACAGAGACAGAACCAGAGAGAGAAGGGGAGGAAGGAAACAGTAAGCTCCTTCTGTGTGCTAGTGCTGTGCTAAGCCTTTTGCAGATAGCAACTCATTTGACGGTGAGGTGAGGAGACAGAGACATTGCTTCCCCTCCTCCCAGAACATCCCCCTCAGGGGCTTGGGTAGGGTTGTGTCTGCACTAGACTGGCCACCTGTTGCAATCTGCTTCTGGAATGCTCCAGGCTGGCTCTGATCTACATGGGCCCAGAGGTGTGTCTGATCCTTTCAGCTAATTCTAATGCAACTGCTGTGTGGTGTCAGCTAATTTCAACCAATGATCAAAGTACTTCTCTCCTCTCAAATTGATTAAGGACCTGTTCATACCTAGTATACACTTTTGATTGATTAATCAAGAGACCCCCAAGGATTCAGTAATTACATTAATTGGTTGGGGGAGTGAGTGTTCACGCCTCCCTTCTACAAACCCATGAAAGAATCACCAGGAATCTCTGAGTCATCTCACACTTATTTATGTTAATTCATTTCACCAGCTGAGGGAATAACCCCATGGAAGGAAGGAAGGAAGAGAGGAAAGAAGGAAGGAAAGTAGGAAGGGAGGAAGGAAGGGAGAAAAGAAGGGAGGGAGGGAGGAAGGAAGGAAAGAATAAGCAAAGGAAGGAAGAAGCAAAAGAAAAGAGGGAAGGAAGGAAAAAGGGAAGGAAGGAAGAGAAGGAGGAAAGAAGAAAAAAGGGAAGGAAGGAGGGAAAGAAGGAGAAGAGGGAGAAAAGGAGGAAGCATTTATTAAATGCCTACTATGTGCCAGGCATGGTGCTAAGTACTTTACAAATAGCATCTCAGTTCTGTCCTTATAGCACCCCTGTGAGGTAGGTGCTATTATTATATTACGTTTGAGGAAACTGAGGCAGAGATTAAGGGACTTGCCCAGGGTCATACAGGGAGTATCTGAAGCTGGATTTGAGCTCAGGTCTTCATTACTCCAGGCCCAAAGCTCTAGCCACTGTACCACCTGGTTGCCTCTAATGGCATCCCACACAGGTCCTTGAAGTATTGTTGTGAGTGCATGAGAGAGAAAGACTGCTAAGGGATATCAGTGGAGAGAACAGCCACTTCCAACTCGGGGCATGGCAGGAGCCTTCATGGAGGAGGTGCTTGCCACTTGGGATAGGCCTTGAAGGATCAGAAAGCTTGAATGGCTGGAGCTGGAAGGAGGATGAGAGGGGAGGAAGGAGAGCTGTTATGTGCCCCAAACGGAAACACAAGAAGGATGAAAAGAGTGGCCCAGTTTGAGGAGCCGAGAATGGTCCAGTTAGGCTGAAGTGGAGAAGGGGAGCAAGGGGGGAGGGAGAACAGTGGGAAATTGGGCCAGAAAAGTAATTTGGGAGCAGACTGGGGGGAGGGGCAGCATGAATGACAAGACGCAGAGTCTGGACCAGATCCAGCCGGGTTCTGAGCAGAGAGGAGCCACACGTGGGGAAGATTAATCTGGCGATGAGGCCCAGGGTGGATGGGCTCCATCCGCCAGAGAGACTGGAGCCCAGCTGCCCAGCCCTGGCTGCCCAACAGTCTAGGGGAGAGGCTGGCACCAGGGACCGCTTAGGCTAGTGACTATGAGTGTGGCAAGGAAGGCGGGGAAGGGAGGGGCAGGCAGGGCTTGGCAGGGGCAGGTCTTCTGATCCGGAGCCCAGTGGCAAATAGCCAGGCCTGCTCCGACTGTCCCTCCACACCAGAGCCGTGAATTTATCTGGGTTGGGGAACAATGGATAGGGTGGTCCAGGAACGGATTCGTTGGGTAGAAAAGCTTCCATCAAGGAAATTCCCTCTACCAGGGCCAGCTGACACCGTCTCAATAACCCCAGAGAAATGCTTAGGGCAGTGAGGAGCTTATCAGTCTGTTCAGGGATCCCACAGCCAGGATGTGTCAGAGGCAGCACTTGAACTCGGGTCTTCCAGGCCCTAAGGCCAGCTGCCTGATAGTGTTAGCAATAAAATAAATAGTAATTACAATTATGTAGCTCTTTATCATTTCAACAGCACAGGAGGAGATTGAAGTCTATAGAGAGCCAAGGCCTGTAGAAAGACCGATGGTTTTGCAGTCATTGGACCTGGGGCTGAGTTCTAGCTTTGCTGCTTTCCTGTGGCCTTTGGGTCCCAGTGTCTGCAAAAATAATGATGATGATGATGATGATGATAAGAGGATTAGACTAGATCAGGGAGTCTTAACCTGGCATTTATTAGCTTTTTAAAAAATGTATTTTGATAACTTTAAACATAATTGGTTTCCTTTGTAATCCTTAGTATTTTATGCATTTAAAAACATGATTCTGAGAAGGGCTCCTTGGGGCAGCTAGGTGATACAGAATGCTGGGCCTGGAGTTAGGAAGACTCGTCTGTCTTGAACTCAAATCCAGCCTCAGACTTACTAGCTGCATGATCCTGGGCAAGTCACTTAAACCCTGTTTGTCTCAGTTTCCTCATCTGTCAAATGAGCTGGAGAAGGAAATGGCAAACCCCTCCAAATATCTTAGCCTAGAAAACCCCAAATGAGGTCATGAAGAGTTGGACAAGACTGAAAAACAACTGAACAGCAATAAAAACGTGATTCTGAGGAGTCCATAAGCTCTACCAGACTGCTGCCCAAGAGTCCATGATGCCAAAGAGATGAAGATCCCCTGGCCTAGAGGGTCTCTTGAGTTTCTTTTCAGTTTTAAACTCAATAATCCTGTGAGCAGTTGAATGCTAAGACCCCTTCCAACCCAAAAATCCTGTGCTTTCACCCCCACTTTCCCACATGGTCGTCATGGTAATTCTGTGAAGGAGTCATATGGTCCCTATCTAATATCAGGACTCAGAGATTGAGCCCTAGACAAGGCAGAGCTGAGACCCCATCCCAGGCCTTCTGACTCCCAGTGCGACATTTTCGCCATCCAATCCAGTGTAACAATCTGGAGCTATTACGGCGGCTGTTACTATTCTCATCGGTCTCCCTGTCTGTAGGCCTGCTCCTCTCCAGTCCGTCCTCCCTATGGTTGCTAAGTTGATCTCTCTAGAGCACATCTGGCCATATTGTTCCTCTGCTCAATAACTTTCCTTGACTCTCTGTTGCCTCCTTAATAAAACACAAACTCCCCTGTTAGGCTTTGAAAGCCTTTGACTATCTGGCTTCAGGCTTGTATAATAATACTCTATTTTCATTCTCTGGGGTTGGGGATCAGGAATAATATCTGAAGAGAAAATTAAAGTAATAAAAGTAATCTCCAGGGGCAAGGGGACCAGCAACAGGGGGCATCAAGACAGGCTTTTCTGTAGGAGTTGGGACTTAAAAGAAGCAAGGGATTCTAAGAGGTAGAGGTGAGGAAGGAAAGCATTTCGGGCTTGGGTGATAGCCTGTCCAAAGGCATGTCAAAACAGCTGACATTTGCACAGCGTCTGAAGGTTTGCAAAGGGATTTATATACATGATCTCACTTGAGTTTTATGATGACCTGTTAAGGTAAGCAGTATTATGAATCTTCCTTTTATAGATGAGGAAACTGAGGTTCAGAGGGGCCCCCAGAGAGGAGTTCTCTGAGGTCCTTCTGATTCCAAGCCACTCTATCCCGTAGGACCTTCTCTCAGTGTTCCCACTACTTCCCTATTTCTTCACTCCTCAGGAGGGGGTGCAATTGGGAAGGGAGGTCCCACACCAAATTTGGGGGCATCTTCTTTGCAGGTGTTTGCAGCAGTGAACCAGGACCTGCAGAGGTTTGGAGCCCGCGTGTCAGATGAGATCCTCTCCCTGGGGCAAGAATGTGAAACAAAGCCCCCCAGACTGAAGCCGTTTGACGGGTGGGGTCAGCGCGTGGACCTCGTCCTCACCTGCTCTGCTTGGAAGAAGCTGAAAGAGATTTCGGCTGAGGAGGGGTTAATCGCCATAGGCTACGAGAGGAAATACTTCGGCTGGAGGTGAGAGCCCTGGCGGACATTTGGGGTCATCCCAGGGCGCACGGTCAGAGGAAGGAGCGCTGGGTCTGGGGCTGGTTCTGCCCTTGAGCTGCTCCGTGACTTGGGCCCTCCAAGGCCCGTCCCCTTCCCGAGTCATGGCATCATCCGAGAGTCAGGGCGAGAAGGGGCCCTGGAGGTCATCTGGTCCAGCCCCCTGACTTTCCACACGAGGGGCTGAGGCCCGGGCGCTTAGAGCGTCTCGGTCACCCAAGGAGTAAGAGGTCTCCCACTTGCCCCATTTGTAGATAGGCGGCAACGATGTTTGCAGGGATTGGACGTGAGCAGTATAGTGGATGGAGGACTGGCCTCAAAGTCAGGGAAGCCTGAGGTCCATTTCTGCCTCGGACATACTCCAGCTGCATGACCTTGGTCAAGTCCTGCTATTGTCAGAAGGAAGGAAGCAGGGACACGACAAGACCTCTAGAGTCAGAGACCCGAGTTCAAATGCCACCTCTGACGATGACTGCCTGCGCAACCTTGGCCAAGGCACTTGACCTCACTGGGCCTCAGTTTCCCCATCTGTAAAGGGAGATGGCTGGATGATATGGCTTCTGAGATGTCTCGAGGCTCTAGGTCTAGGATTGCATTGGTTGTAGACAAACAGCTGCTCCGTGTTGGAGGAAGGAGTTCCCGCACTGGGATTCCCCTACATCAGTGAAGGCACCAGTCTAGACAAATGCGGCATGCCTGCCCAAGCATTCCCAAACATGGTAATATATGGAAGGGGGCTTCATGGCCCAGAAGTGAGTGTCTCAACCCCCTTTTCCTTTCTTGCCTGTGGAGGGGCCCCAGCTGCCGCTGAAGCCGCCATGCTCTGTACCTGTAAACATGGCCGTCAGTCATGCCTACGTGCTGAACCATAAAGAAATAATTAGCCGGGGCTAATGGCCCATAATCCGGCCTATCTGTATTCCATTCCCAAGGGTTTTCTCCCAAGTTGTTAGACAGGCAGGAACATAAAACTTTGGCCTTGGTGTACGGCTGTGTGCTTCCCGAAAGCAAAGGCTGGCTTGTGTTGGGGGTGGAGCACTGCATGAGGATACCAGCCTCCAAAGCCTGCCTGTTTCCTGGGTGACCTCAGGCGATCCCCTTCCCTTCCTCAGGCCTCAGTTTCCCCCTCTGCAAAATAAGGTGACTGTACTAGAGGATCTCAAAGATCCCTTCCTGATTTAGTCCCTCAGTCAATAAGCATTTATTAAGCACCAGCTATGGGCCAGGCTCTGGGAGAAGTACTGGGAATACAAAAACACTGACCAACCGAAAACCAGTCCTGCCTCGGAGCGCTCTCAGTCTCGTGGGAGTGACAGCCTGCAAACAAATGATGGTGTATAAGGCACTATTGGCATTCTATTGCATTTCGTTCTATTAAAGGCCTACTAAGCACCAGGTACAATGCTAGAGGCCGGGGATCCAGAAACATTCCTTGTCCTCAAGGGGTTGATGCTCTAATTGGGGGAGAGGGGGGAGAGGGGAGGGAAAGGCACAACCCGAGCAAGTACACACCTACTATGGACAAAATCATTTCCAAGGGGCCCGGCATTGTGACAGAAATGAGTATTTCTCTCGTATTTAATGACTAATTATTGAATTAGGACCAAGATATTTCTCAGGCAGCCTTTGAAGTGCAGGGCTGATACTGAAAGGGAGAATTCAGATTACCTATTCAAAAGGCAAAGTTAGGTGAATTGATGGATTCCAACACGTTGTGTTCTACTCCAACAGGTTTGGGAAAATGCGGATTCTCCCTTTTGGAAGATGGGTGATATGGAATACAGACAATTCTTTTTGACCAAAATTGAGTGATCAGAGTCATGTACCCCAGACCCTCATTAAAATAGGTCCACCTCTCATTATAAAATTTATTCTCTCATTAATAATTAAGTTGATTTCCACCCTCAGCAACACCCCCTCTTCCAAAGGCATATAAGCATTGAGTCTTTGAGGGGCCTTTGGTCTAAGACAGACAGCCAAAGAATCATCCTTTTATTAATAATATGCTAGAATTATTAATAAAATTATTAATTACCCAGAAACTATGTCTCTCAAACTTTTAATACCTCACAGTTAGGAAAAGAAAGGTCTCACTCAGGAGGTGGCACCACAGCCATGCTTCGAAGACACCTAAGGAGTCTTCAAGGCAAAGGGGACGAGGGAAAGCAGCCCAGGCCTGGCCGACCACTCGTACCTTAGGACTCTTAGCCAGGACAAACTACATTTTGCTTCCCTCATCTCCCTCTGGATTGAAAGGGGGAAAACAGTCCTCTGAGCTTCAAACAGGAGAGAATAGGTCTTCCCCTATGGGAATGAAGTGGGTACGGGGGTGGGACCACACCTTCTACCTCTTATTTCCTTAAAGTATAGTGATTCCTGCTGTGGTCAGCAGATCCAAGGGGCCTCCGGCTGTCATTGTACTGAGAAATTACAGGTTTGGTTTTAAGCACAGTAATTGGCACATAGTAAGAGCTTAATAAATGCTTTTTTACTCATCCATTCATCCATCCAATTCATCCATCCTTTTATCCATCTATTCATCCATCCATCCATCCATTTATCTACCCATTTGTTCACCCACCCACCCATTCATTTATCCAACCATTTGTCTATTTATCCATCTATCCATCCATTTATCCATCCATCTATTCATCTATCCATCTTTTTTATCTATCCATCTATCCATCCATTTACCCACCCCCCATCCATCCATCCATCCATCCATCCATCCATCCATTTATCTACCCATCTGTCCACCCATCCATCCATTCATTTATCCATCCATTTGTCTATTTATCCATCTATCTATCCATTTATCCATCCATCCATTTATCTATCCATCTATCCATCCATTTACCCACCCATCCATCTATTTGTCCATCCATTCAAGTTGAGCAGGCCAGTGACAAAGCCTTTGTAAGTAGGAGTCTCACCCTGCCTCACCAAAGAAAGGAAAGAAGGGAGTCCAGGAAGCTGCTTCTGAGTCAGGCGGCCAAGCAGGGAGACAAGAGGATCCTCTGAAATGGAGGCCCAAGGAAGGGAGAGCCAGGCTGCCCGTGGCCTCCCCCATCCTGGCTTGTGTCGACTCTGGCTTTTCTCCATGTTCCTCAGCCGCGTGTACCAGATGGCCAAGCTGTTCCTGTTCTCCCCCTCTTCTGGAATGTTCCTTTGCCCCCTGGCCATGGCTGATGGTGCTGCTAAGGTCCTGGAGGTGAGAACCAAAGGAACTCAGAGCTGGTGTCCTCCCAGTCTCTGCCCCCCTGCCCCCCACCCTTGACCTCAGGCTGAGGCTTCCAGCTCCTTTACTTCCTTGTGGCTTAACCTCTGACCTCAGATGACTCCTTGGTTTTCCATCTTCCTAATAAAAAATGGAGACCCCAGCCCCTTGCTCCTGTGGGGCTGCATGCCCCAAGCTGCTAAGGCATCCATCCAAGCGTGACCATGACTCTACGCTTAGACGGGGGCTAGTTAGAGGCTCAGGGAGCATTTTTAAAGTGCCTACTGTGTGGTAGGCACTGGAGACACGAGGACAAAAATGAAATCCCTGTTCTCCAGGAGCTTACACTCTTTTGAGGGGAAACAACAAAAATAACATATAAGTAGTTAAATAAATAAATAAATACAAGGTAATTTGGGGGGAAGGGAACCAGGCAAATGACTCCTATGGGAGAAGGCACCACAGCCAATGTTGAATGGAGGTAAGAATCCCAACAGGTAGAGGAAGGCGTGGAGGGATAATCAGCAAAAGCACAGGCAGGAGAGGGGACGGTCATGTCCAGGGGACACAAGTGAAACGGCTCCAAAGTGTCATCCGTCACCATCAACAAGCATTTATTGAGCACCTACTACATCCCGGGCACTGCTCTAAGTGCTGGGGATGCAAAGAAACACCAAGTGTCCTGGGTGCTTACTGCCCCAGGCTCTATTCCTTTCCTCCTTTTCTTCCCTCATTTGCCTTCTCCGACCTCATCCCCTGCAGGTGATGAAGCCCTCAGGGGCAGCCGGGGAAGCTTTCGGTCATCTGACTTCACGAGACCCAAAGCACTTCTGGACCTCTGGCCAGTGGATGACCGAACGGAAGGGAGGCTCTGACGTGGGTGAGTGGGGCGGAGGCGGAGGAGCTCAGGGGTTCTGGCC